TATTTGACATTGGTGAGGCCTCATCTGGAGTACTGTGCCCAGTTTTGGGCCCCACACTACAAGAAGGATGTGGAAAAATTGGAAAGAGTCCAGCGGAGAGCAACAAAAATGATTAGGGGGCTGGAACACGTGACTTATGAGGAGAGGCTGAGGGAACTGGGATTGTTTAGTCTGCAGAATAGCAGAATGAGGGGGGATTTGATAGTTGCTTTCAACTACCTCAAAGGGGGCTCCAAAGAGGATGGATCTAGACTGTTCTCTGTGGTAGCAGATGACAGAACAAGGAGTAATGGTCTCAAGTTGCAGTGGGGGAGGTTTACGTTGGATATTAGGAAGAACTTTTTCATCAGGAGGGTGGTGAAACACTGGAATACGTTACCTAGGGAGGTGGTGGAATCTCCGTCCTTAGAAGTTTTGAAGGTCAGGCTTGACAAAGCCCTGGCTGGGATGATTTAGATGGGGATTGGTCCTGCTTTGAGCAGGGGTTGGACTAGATGACCTCCTGAGGTCCCTTCCAACCCTGATATTCTATGATCCTATGATTCTATGATCACTACCATTTGTAACTGTAAACCTAGCCTGGTGAGCAGTACTAACCACAGCCCGAACCCTAGCCTGGGGATCACAACTGAGTACAAATCAGTAAAGATACACTGGACCATTATGGCAATGTAATTAGCAAAAGCAGAGACAAGTGAAGAATATAGGCTACATCTATGCTTCAAGCCACTGATGATGATGATTTCCCTTCTCTTTGAAAATTTGAATGCCACCATTTCTCCCTTTTTGGAGCCGCATAAAAATAGTACCTTGGATTGTTTTTTTAAAGTAACTTTAAAAAGTAGCCTTGAAGAGGATCTTCTCAGAATATTCCCAAATTCAAGGTTTGTTATCAAAGATAAGTTGTTAAATCAACCATGCATGCTGCCTTTTCATATCTTATCTCCTGCTATCTTGTAGATGGCAATGTAAGATCTATGCACATTGTTGAATGCAATAGATTAATTTAACTGATAATGCAATGCCCTTTTACTAAATTCCTTTATCTGAACAGAGTAGTTAGATCAATCATTTTGTTAGCCGAAGATGCTGTGTTAAGAATAATGAATTATCCTAACTTTCAGAATGGGAGAGAGGTGTGGGTGTTTGAAAAGTATTTTTCAATATTCTGAACAGCAGGAGAGTTTGCTGACAATTGAAGATTTATGTAAGAAATCAATGTAATCTGTAAACAGTCTAACTTTTTACCTAAGGAAGTGACTAAATATTCATTCTCAAGTTAAAGGGGTAGAGGGTACAGTATGATTATACAGTGGCTGCATGATTCCATTGAGACAGGTGTTTAGTGCATGTTCCCTGTCACTTCTAAGTGAAGGGCTGAGCAGATTTACAAGGCTGATTCCTTTGTGGGAAGGTTTAGTCCTGCCCTGTAACCAGGAGAAAGTTATAAAAGCCTCAGCCTGGAATCCCATGTGACATAATTCCAGATTGCAAAAGTGAATTAGTTGATGCAGCTGGTTTTCAGCCTTGAGCCCAGGGTGCCCTAAGAATGCATGGGCTAGGAAAAAGTATATTTAGGGATTGAGTCAATGCTCATTAAAATCAAGTGAGATACTCTTGGTGAGGGCTTCTGCACCTTGTACCTCTTACAAATGTGATAGGCCTTTTGGAGCATTTGATCCTCTGTCTTTTTCCAGTGAGGGTCGGAGATAAGTTTTGAAGACCTGAATTCACGGGACAACTGTTGGCATTGTGGATATTTTGTGCATGGTTTCACCAAGCAAGACACATTTAGGAAAATTGGGGCCACATCCTCAGATGGTGTAAACTACCAAAGCTTTATTGCCTTCATAGGGGCTGTGCTAACCTATATGAGCTTAGACTTGGTGGGTCTTTTGGTTTGGTTTGGTTTGGTTTGTTGTTTGGTTTGTTTTGGTAGCTATTTAGGCATTTTAGGGTAACCATCATCCTATTTAGGAGCCAAGTGATTTGTTTAGTTAATTCAAGACATTTGGGTGATCACTATTGGAAAAAAAAAATGGGTATTAGTGATTTTTATCTAATGCAGCACATTTGGGTTGGTGTGTTATACAAAACACTAAAAACAGATTAAGGTCCTAATTCTCACAGCATAAGTGCCATATACTGTAAATAAATAATATATGATTAAAAGCCCTGTCTGGCCATTTTGTTGTCCCCAAAGCATTTTATTGTCTCATACACGCTGTCTCGTGAACATTACCAATCTGCGAGAACTGTTAGTTATTCAATATTTCCATGATTTCTGATACTTACTGTAAGCTCTGTGATATTGATGTCTGCAAGACAGTCCTGCCAGTTCCAGAACAACAGCCTCTTAGGGTACGTCTACACTACGAAATTAGGTCGAATTTATAGACATCGGTTTTGTAGAAAGCATTTTTATACAGTCGATTGTGTGTGTCCCCACACAAATGCTCTAAGTGCATGTAGTTGGCGGAGTGTGTCTACAGTACCGAGGCTACCGTCGACTTCTGGAGCGTTGCACTGTGGGTAGCTATCCCACAGTTCCCGCAGTCTCCACCACCCATTTGAACTCTGGGTAGAAATTCCAGTGCCTGATGGGGCTAAAACATTGTCGCAGGTGGTTCTGGGTACATATCATCAGGCCCGCCTTCCTTCCCTCCTTCCGTGAAAGCAAGGGCAGACAATCGTTTTGCGCCTTTTTTCTTGAGTTACCTGTGCAGACGCCATACCACGGCAAGCATGGAGCCCACTCAGCTAACCATCACCGTATGTCTCCTAGGTTCTGGCAAACGCGATACTGCATTGCTACACATCAGCAGTTTAATGCCTTTTGGCAGCAGACAGTGCAGTATGACTAGTAGCCGTCGTCGATGTAGTCCTGGGTGCTCTTTTAACCGACCTCGATGAGGTCAGGGGCACCTGGGCAAACTTGGGAGTGACTCAGCCAGGTCATTTCCCTTCTAAGTTTTGTCTCATGGTGATTCAGTCCTGCCGGCAGTGCACTGTCTTTTAATCAGCAGCCCGCAGAAGATGATGGCCAGGAGTCATACTGCACCGTCTTCTGCCGAGCACCCAGGAGATGACGATGGCTAGCGATCGTACTGCACAGTCTGCTGCATCTATAAAGATAGATGAAGTGGCTCAAAACAAGAAATAGACCAGATTTGTTTTGTATTCATTTTCTCCTCCCTCCCTCCATGAAATCAACGGCCTGCTAAACCCAGTTTTGAGTTCTGTCCTTGAGGTTTTGAGTTCTATCCTTGAGGGGGCCATTCTGTTTCTCGCAAAGCCACCCCCTTTGTTGATTTTAATTCCCTGTAAGCCAACCCTGTAAGCCATGTCGTCAGTCGCCCCTCCCTCCGTCAGGCAACAGCAGACAATCGTTCTGTGCCTTTTTTCTGTGCAGACGCCATAACACAGTAAGCATGGAGCCCGTTCAGATCACTTTGGCAGTTAGGAGCACATTAAACACCATGTGCATTATCCAGCAGCATATGCAGCACCAGAACCTGGCAAAGCAAAACTGGGCAAGTAGGCGACATCAGCGCGGTGACTAGAGTGATGAGGGTATGGACACAGACTTCTCTCAAAGCATGGGCCCTGGCAATGTGGGCATCATGGTGCTAATGAGGCAGGTTCATGTGGTGGAACGCTGATTCTGGGCTCGGGAAACAAGCACAGACTGGTGGGACCGCATAGTGTTGCAGGTCTGGGACGATTCCCAGTGGTTGCAAAACTTCTGCATGCGTAAGGGCACTTTCATGGAACTTTGTGACTTGCTTTCCCCTGCCCTGAGGCGCAAGAGTACCAAGATGAGAGCAGCCCTCACAGTTGAGAAGCGAGTAGCAATAGCCCTGTGGAAGCTTGCAACACCAGACAGCAAGTCAGTCGGGAATCAATTTGGAGTGGGCAAATCTACTGGGGGGGGGGCTGCTGTGATGCAAGTAGCCAAAACAATCAAAGATCTGCTGCTATCAAGGGTAGTGACTTTGGGAAATGTGCAGGTCATAGTGGATGGCTTTGCTGCAATGGGATTCCCTAACTGGGGTGGGGCCATAGACGGAACCCATATCCCTATCTTGGCACCGGAGCACCAAGCCGGTGAGTACATAAACCACAAGGGGTACTTTTCAGTAGTGCTGCAAGCACTGGTGGATCACAAGGGACGTTTCACCAACATCAACGTGGGATGGCCGGGAAAGGTACATGACGCTCACATCTTCAGGAACTCTGGTCTGTTTCAAAAGCTGCAGGAAGGGACTTTATTCCCAGACCAGAAAATAACCATTGCGGATGTTGAAATGCATCTGATGAAATGAGCTGTAGCTCACGAAAGCTTATGCTCAGATAAATTTGTTAGTCTCTAAGGTGCCACAAGTACTCCTTTTCTTTTTGCAAAATGCCTATAGTTATCCTTGGGGACCCAGCCTACCCCTTAATGCCATGGCTCATGAAGCCATACGCAGGCAGCCTGGACAGTGGTCAGGAGCTGTTCAACTACAGGCTGAGCAAGTGCCGAATGGTGGTAGAATGTGCATTTGGGCATTTAAAAGCGCATTGGCGCAGTTTACTGACTCGGTTAGACCTCAGCAAAACCAATATTCCCACTGTTATTACTGCTTGCTGTGCGCTCCACAATATCTGTGAGAGTAAGGGGGAGACATTTATGGTGGGGTGGGAGGTTGAGGCAAATCGCCTGGCTGCTGGTTTCGCACAGCCAGACACCAGGGCGGTTAGAAGAGCACAGGAGGGCGCGGTACGCATCAGAGAAGCTTTGAAAACCAGTTTCATGACTGGCCAGGCTACGGTATGAAAGTTCTGTTTGTTTCTCCTTGATGAAACCCCCCGCCCCTTGGTTCACTCTACTTCCCTGTAAGCTCACCACCCTCCCCTTGATCACTGCTTGCAGAGGCAATAAAGTCATTGTTGCTTCACATTCATGCATTCTTTATTTATTCATCACACAAATAGGGGGATAACTGCCAAGGTAGCCCGGGAGGGGTGGTGGAGGAGCGAAGCACCAGGAGGGGTGGTGGAGGAGGGAAGGACAAGGCCACACAGAACTTTAAAAGTTTAAAACTTTAAAACTTATTGAATGCCAGCCTTCTGTTGCCTGGACAATCCTCTGGGGTGGAGTGGCCGGAGGCCCCCCCACAATGTTCTTGGGTGTCTGGGTGAGGAGGCTATGGAACTTGGGGAGGAGGGCGGTTGGTTACACAGGGACTGTAGTGGTGGTCTGTGCTCCTGCTGCCTTTCCTCCAGCTCAACCATATGCTGGAGCATATTGGTTTGATCCTCCAGCAACTTCAGCATTGAATCCTGCCTCCTCTCATCATGCTGCCACCACCTTTCAGCTTCAGCCCTCTCTTCAGCCCACTACCTCTCCTCGCGGTCATTTTGTGCTTTCCTGGACTCTGACATTGTCTGCCTCCACGCATTCGTCTGTGCTCTGTCAGTGTGGGAGGACAGCATGAGCTCAGAGAACATTTCATCGCGAGTGCATTTTTTTCACTTTCTAATCTTCGCTAGCCTCTGGGAAGGAGAAGATCCTGTGATCCTTGAAACACATGCAGTTGTTGGAGAAAAAAAAAGGGACAATGGTATTTAAAAAGACACATTTTATAGAACAATGGGTATACTCTTTCACGGTAAACCTTGCTGTTAACATTACATACATAGCACGTGTGCTTTTGTTCCAAGGTCACATTTTGCCTCCCCCCAGTGCATGGCTAACCCCTCCCCGTGCCTAACAGCGGGGAACATTTCTGTTTAGCCACAGGCAAACAGCCCAGCAGGAATGGGCACTTCTGAATGTCCCCTTAAGAAAAGCACCCTATTTCAACCAGGTGATCATGAATGATATCACTCTCCTGAGGATAACACAGAGAGATAAAGAACGGATGTTGTTTGAATGCCAGCAAACATACACTGCAATGCTTTGTTCTACAATGATTCCCGAGTACATGCTGCTGGCCTGGAGTGGTAAAGTGTCCTACCATGGTGGATGGAATAAGGCTGCCCTCCCTAGAAACCTTTTGCAAAGGCTTTGGGAGTACATGCAGGAGAGCCGCGAATGCCAGGGCAAATTAATCATTAAACATGCTTGCTTTTAAACCATGTATAGTATTTTAAAAGGTACACTCACCAGAGGTCCCTTCTCTGCCTGGCGGGTCCAGGAGCTAGCCTTGGGTGGGTTCGGGGGGTACTGGCTCCAGGTCCAGGGTGAGAAACCGTTCCTGGCTGTCGGAAAAACCAGTTTCTCTGCTTGCTTGCTGTGAGCTATCTACAACCTCATCATCATCATCTTTCTCATCCCCAAAATCTGTTTCCATGTTGCCTCCATCTCCATTGAAGGAGTCAAACAACACGGCTGGGGTAGTGGTGGCTGAACCCCCTAAAATGGCATTCAGCTCATCATAGAAGCGGCCTGTTTTGGGCTCTGACCCAGAGTGGCCGTTCGCCTCTCTGGTTTTCTGGTAGGCTTGCCTCAGCTCCTTCAGTTTCAAGCGGCACTGCTTCGGATCCCTGTTATGGCCTCTGTCCCTGGGAGATTTTGACAAATGTTTTGGCATGTCAAAAACTGAAACAGAGTTCTGATAGCACAGATTCGTCTCCCCATACAGTGATCAGATCCCGTACCTCCCATTCGGTCCATGCTGGAACTCTTTTGCGATTCTGGGACTCCATCATGGTCACCTCTGCTGATGAGCTCTGCATGGTCACCTGCAGCTTTCCATGCTGGCCAAACAGGAAATTAAAATTCAAAAGTTCGCGGGCCTTCTTCTGTCTACCTGGCCAGTGCATCTGAGTTGAGAGTGCTGTCCAGAGCAGTCAAAATGGAGCACTCTGGGATAGCTCCCGGAGGCCAATACTGTCTAATTGCTTCCACAGTACTCCAAATTTGACCCGGCAAGGCCGATTTCAGTAGTAATCCCCTTGTCAGGGGTGGAGTAAGGAAATAGATTTTAAGAGCCCTTTAAGTCGAAAAAAAGGGCTTTGTCGTGTGGACGGGTGCAGGGTTAAATCGATTTAATGCTGCTAAATTCTACCTCAACTCCTAGTGTAGACCAGGGCTTAGAGAGCAGGAATGCTGTCCTTTGCCTCTGTTTGCCAGAAGCTGGGAATGAACAACAGGGGATGGATCACTTGATTACCTGTTCTGTTCATTCCCTCTGGGGCACCTGGCACTGGCCACTGTTGGAAGACAGGATACTGGGCTAGATGGACCTTTGGTCTGACCGAGTAGGGTTGTTCTTATGTTCTTTATAGACTTTTTTGTTTGTTTTCCATTAATTCCCTTTTCCCTTCTTCAAAGAACAATTATAAAAACAAATATATTGTAATCAAATCTCTGGGGGATGGGAAGTAAAGTGAGATAAAACCTCATTAGCCATGGAGTTGTGAATCTAAAAGAAAATAGCTCACCTAGTCAGGGCTTGATTAACTCTCCTGTGAGCCCCAGGGCTATTAGATTTTGTGGGGCCCCTGTATACAAGTCTTTTTCCTGGGAGGGAGTTTGGTATAGGAGGGGGCTGGGGCAGGGGATTGGGGTACAGGAGGAGGTGCGGTGTCTGGGAGGGAGTTTGGGTGCAGGAGGGGGATTCTGATCTGGGGCTGGGGGTTGGGGTGGAGGAGGGGGTACCATAGGTGGCTCCCGGTCAGCAGTGCAGCAGGGCTCAGGCAGGCTGCCTGCCATACCCCCATACTGCTCCCGGAAGTGGCCAGCTGCTAGCACATCTCTGCGGCCCCTGGGGGGAGGACGGGGACAGCATGTCTCCATGTGCTGCCCACAAGTGCCTCCCCTGTAGCTCCCATTGGCCGGGAATCGGCCGATGGGAGCTATGGGGCAGGGGCAGTGTGTGGAGCCACCTACCCCTCTCCCCCAACCAGGGGCCGCAGAGATGTGCTAGCAGACGGCCGCTTCCAGGGGCAGCGTGGGGCCATGGCATGAGCGCCCTGCTGCGCCGCGGGACTTTTAGTGGTTTGGAGTTGGTGATTTATTTTTGTGGGGCCCCCCTTGAGCCAGGGCCCTGGGCTGCAGTCACTAAAACCCCTGCCCAAATCTGGCCCTGCGCCTAATTAAAACTGAAGCAAATAAGAACTTCTAGAATAACCTCCTCCAAGAAGTCATGTGATTCATTTTTCCTCTTCCCAGGGGGTTGCCATTTTTGCATCCAAGAATTTGGCTGTGTACCTTCTCCCCCTTTAATTCTGCATCCTTCAGCCCATTGCTTGTCATCTAGTGCACAACCTCATTTTCAGCACCTCTTTTTAAACTGTTTAAGCTTTAGGCTTTCGTCAAGGTTACTCCTGAATGTTGCATGTATAGATGGGTTAACTTTATCCCTTGTCTCCATGGTCTGATTTGTCAAAGACAAATGTTACTATTGCTTATTTTGTAAAGCATATATGCTCTCCTATGTTCCAGCTGGCACTCATACAATAAGGTAGCACATCATAATAACTGTTGTTAGAAACAAATCATTTATTGTCAATTCTCCGTCCTTTCCTTTTCCTGTCTAACAGTGGACATACAGCATAAGTGTGTGTGTACATATATGTATTTATTTGCATAGATTCTAAGGCCAGAAGAGAACATTGGGATTGTCTGGTCTGACCTCCTGTATAACACAGGCTATAGAACTTCCCCAAAGTCATTCCTAGAGCTATGCCAGGAAGTTAGCTCTGTCACCTCCTGGTGATGACTCAGGAGACCAAGTGAGTTTTGGGTAATAAAAACAGAATCAAAAAGCCATTTTGGCATCCATCTCCAGGGGGAATAAAGAAACCAACACTTTGATTTTTGTAAGGTCTGGATCCTGGCAGGACAGCCAGTCATGCTGGAGAATGCTAACAACTTGGCAAGAGTAAGACATTGTGTTAGGCAAAACCATATCTTGCTATAATTAAGTTTTAGACACTAGAAAGCATGTAATTTTTTTGTTTGCAACCCTTTCATATCTCTCTCACTTGGGCTTAAAAATCACTTAATTCTGTGTTCTTTGTTGTACTGTGCAATACTGAGATAGCTCAGGTGGGGTTATACACTCCCCCTTAATACAAGACAACAAGCTGTTGTGTGTACTGGCTTTTTGGAGACAGTGAACTTGATGTTACCTCTGTCAATGTCCAGTCAGAGGATCAGGATGCTGCAGGGGATATGGTCTGGGGGAAACTCAGGACTGGGAGGGTTGTGGGGAATCACCCTGCAAGGAGTAATTGGACTGGTGGAAGCCAAGGTGAGATCACTGTGTTGTGAGCATGCTTCTGGGCTCTGTCAGGGCTCTGATCCAAAGTTGCATAGCACAGAGGCACCCAGGGTTATAAGGTAGGCAATTACTGAACACTTTACTGGTCTGGGGGAATCCCCAAGGCATCACAGGCTGCATGTTTATTTCTCAGTATACCAATGTGTATTCAATTAACAAGTACAGATCTTTCCCCCCCTCCTCCCGCAAAAAATGCAGCTCAGCAAATTCAGCCTGGACTCCAAGAACCAGTCTGGGTTCTTTCCATCTTGCACATTAACACCAGTAATAAAAAGCTCTACAAGGCAAATGATACCCTTTTGTTAGACCTGTGGAGCTCTGTTGCTTTCAGTGGGTTTGGCAAAGGTGTGATTAAACCAAGTGCAAAATTCTCTTAATGTAGGAGATGGAATGGAATTTGCAGCTCATTCAGTCTTAGCTGTGTTGATTTTGCAAGGGTAACAGGCAGTATAAAACTTTACACTGAATTGAGCATATATGGCTCTCGATACACAGCAGCAAGGGCATCTGGTGCCACTGATAGTCACTTTCTAGAGTGGAACTGCATTTTAATGTTTTTGTTCTTGTATCCATAAATCATCATCTTAAATTATATTAGAATATTACATAATTCACATCTCCTTATTTAGGATCTCTGCTGACTAGATGTTGGAGTGACTGGCCAGGTCTTTCTCTTTGGTCTCAATTTTTATCGTTGTAGGCTACAGGACTTTTGCTTTGAGATTCCAGAAGGTTGATTAGTCCAGGCTGTTTATCCATTGGACTCAGACCTGTGAGTTCTGAAGATAAATTCACTATACACATAAATACGATGAATCTTATTGACAAGCTTCAGGAGCTGGATAGGGCCCCAAGATACTACCCCAGGATACTTCAACTCTTATATTTGTTGCAGGGTTTCTACTAGTGTCTAATCCCTATAGTGCCTAGCACACTCTTGGTACTTTAAAAATAGTTATTACTGGCTGTAGCCCCACAAATTCTCCAATCCAGCAATGAGACCCCAAGCCTGGTGGTTTGGTTTGTTTCAGTTGGGCTATCTGCAGGCTCGTGGATCTCATTGCAGGGCTGAGTTGCACATCTCTCAATTAGGAAGGGCTGAGGCCAGAAGGATGTGCATCTTCTTCTAAAGGGCTATCTCTTCTCTTCAGTGATTGTCAGTAACCCCCCCCCCCCAAACCTTTACAAACATTGTACTGAATTCACAGTGAGAGGTTTTGGTACAAATGTATTCGGCTTATTTTTAAAATGCCTTGCCTTGCCATACAAGAAAATAAATCCGAGCTAATAAAAGGAGAAGCATTTTGCCATATCCCACCTAATGAGCTGATCCAGCTTACCTCTTCTTCCATTCCCAGCAGCTTGTTCCCACTTTTCACAGACCCAGGCAGCAGACCAGCTCCATGAGGTTTACTTGGTGATTTAGTGTGATTGGAAAAATGTAAAACAAGTTGCGCTCCCCAATTGCTGTCTGTACGATAATACCCATCTCCCAGCCTTTGCCGTAAGTGTTTCTATCATTTTATCTTGAGAGAGAAAAGAAAGAGGTGCTAAGTTTTAGGACACAGAATAGAAGGTGAGATGCAGTCACACAAAGAATGTGAGCAAATTCTTTTGTGCATCCTGGTTTATTTTCATACTGCCTTTTGGATGCTGCCAAACTGCCAATGCAGAATTGCTCTCTACAGTATATTCTTGAATACTCTCTCCATTTTAATGTTAAATGACTCAAGTGATGGAGTTTTCTTTGCTCCCGGGGAGGCTTAACAGACTTAATCATAAGAAATTTCCACCCCTTGCCCCCTCAACATTCAGCCTAAAACTTCCTTTGCTCACAAAAAAATTATGCATACTCTAACTATCATCAAGTAGAGAAAATGAAATGCTGCAACAAATTATGGCAACCTAGTCCTGGCAAAAAGCTGCAATAACAATAAGCAGTAGTAATATATGTAAAGTGTACTCCTACATCCTGGAGAAAGACTGGCAGTGTAGCATAAAAGACAGAGAAGGAGCACAGCTAAAATGAATCCTTATTAGGACTCACAATAATATTGTATTATGTACACAATGTAATTTTTCTGTTTATTCTGTACCTTCAGTGTGACTTCAAAGTAGTTGTCATGGTTAAATATACTTCAATTTTTAAAGTGTGCCTCAGGTCTAGGTGAAGAGGGATTGAAATGTTCATAGCTGAAAGCACTTATCAAATTAACAAAAAACAAGGAGAGAAGGAGGAAAATAATTATTTAAACTAATTTCCTAAACAAGAGCAGCAACGTTACTGAGACAAAGAAAAGGAGTACTTGTGGCACCTTAGAGACTAACCAATTTATTTGAGCATGAGCTTTCGTGAGCCACAGCTCACTTCATCAGATGTTTACCGTGGAAACTGCAGCAGACTTTATATACACACAGAAATCATGAAACAATACCTCCTCCCACCCCACTGTCCTGCTGGTAATAGCTTATCTAAAGTGATCAACAGGTGGGCCATTTCCAGCACAAATCCAGGTTTTCTCACCCTCCACCCCCCCCACACAAATTCACTCTCCTGCTGGTGCTAGCCCATCCAAAGTGACAACTCTTTACATAATCAAGTCGGGCTATTTCCTGCATAGATCAAGGTTTTCTCACATCCCCCCCACCCCCATACACACACAAACTCACTCTCCTGCTGGTAATAGCTCATCTAAACTGACCACTCTCCAGGTTTAAATCCAAGTTAAACCAGAACATCTGGGGGGGGGGGGGTAGGAAAAAACAAGAGGAAACAGGCTACCTTGCATAATGACTTAGCCACTCCCAGTCTCTATTTAAGCCTAAATTAATAGTATCCAATTTGCAAATGAATTCCAATTCAGCAGTTTCTCGCTGGAGTCTGGATTTGAAGTTTTTTTGTTTTAAGATAGCGACCTTCATGTCTGTGATTGCGTGACCAGAGAGATTGAAGTGTTCTCCGACTGGTTTATGAATGTTATAATTCTTGACATCTGATTTGTGTCCATTTATTCTTTTACGTAGAGACTGTCCAGTTTGACCAATGTACATGGCAGAGGGGCATTGCTGGCACATGATGGCATATATCACATTGGTGGATGTGCAGGTGAACGAGCCTCTGATAGTGTGGCTGATGTTATTAGGCCCTGTGATGGTGTCCCCTGAATAGATATGTGGGCACAATTGGCAACGGGCTTTGTTGCAAGGATAAGTTCCTGGGTTAGTGGTTCTGTTGTGTGGTATGTGGTTGTTGGTGAGTATTTGCTTCAGGTTGCGGGGCTGTCTGTAGGCAAGGACTGGCCTGTCTCCCAAGACTTGTGAGAGTGTTGGGTCATCCTTTAGGATAGGTTGTAGATCCTTAATAATGCGTTGGAGGGGTTTTAGTTGGGGGCTGAAGGTGACCGCTAGTGGCGTTCTGTTATTTTCTTTGTTAGGCCTGTCCTGTAGTAGGTAACTTCTGGGAACTCTTCTGGCTCTATCAATCTGTTTCTTTACTTCTGCAGGTGGGTATTGTAGTTGTAAGAAAGCTTGACAGAGATCTTGTAGGTGTTTGTCTCTGTCTGAGGGGTTGGAGCAAATGCGGTTGTATCGCAGAGCTTGGCTGTAGACGATGGATTGTGTGGTGTGGTCAGGGTGAAAGCTGGAGGCATGCAGGTAGGAATAGCGGTCAGTAGGTTTCCGGTATAGGGTGGTGTTTATGTGGCCATTGTTTATTAGCACTGTAGTGTCCAGGAAGTGGATCTCTTGTGTGGACTGGACCAGGCTGAGGTTGGTGGTGGGATGGAAATTGTTGAAATCATGGTGGAATTCCTCAAGGGCTTCTTTTCCATGGGTCCAGATGATGAAGATGTCATCAATATAGCGCAAGTAGAGTAGGGGCTTTAGGGGACGAGAGCTGAGGAAGCGTTGTTCTAAATCAGCCATAAAAATGTTGGCATACTGTGGGGCCATGCGGGTACCCATAGCAGTGCCGCTGATCTGAAGGTATACATTGTCCCCAAATGTGAAATAGTTATGGGTAAGGACAAAGTCACAAAGTTCAGCCACCAGGTTAGCCGTGACATTATCGGGGATAGTGTTCTTGACGGCCTGTAGTCCATCTTTGTGTGGAATGTTGGTGTAGAGGGCTTCTACATCCATAGTAGCCAGGATGGTGTTATCAGGAAGATCACCGATGGATTGAAGTTTCCTCAGGAAGTCAGTGGTGTCTCGAAGGTAGCTGGGAGTGCTGGTAGCGTAGGGCCTGAGGAGGGAGTCTACATAGCCAGACAATCCTGCTGTCAGGGTGCCAATGCCTGAGATGATGGGGCGCCCAGGATTTCCAGGTTTATGGATCTTGGGTAGTAGATAGAATATCCCAGGTCGGGGTTCCAGGGGTGTGTCTGTGCGGATTTGATCTTGTGCTTTTTCAGGAAGTTTCTTGAGCAAATGCTGTAGTTGCTTTTTGGTAACTGTCAGCATAGTCTGTGTGGTATGTAGATTGTAATGGATTTTTGACCTTCAGTCCTTTTGGTACGATGTCCATCTGTTTGCATTTGGAAAGGAAGATGATGTCTGTCTGTATCTGTACAAGTTTCTTCATGCAGTTGACCTAGAATCCTATTTTCGACGTCTCCGTCTCAAGGAATATTTCCAAAATACCTCTGAACAACATACTAATCCACAGAGGCCTCCCTGCCAACACTACAGAAAGAGGGATTCTAGATGGACTCCTCCTGAAGGTCGAAACAGCAGACTGGACTTCTACATAGAGTGCTTCCGCCGACGTGCACGGGCTGAAATTGTGGAAAAGCAGCATCACTTGCCCCATAACCTCAGCCATGTGGAACGCAATGCCATCCACAGCCTCAGAAACAACTCTGACATCATAATCAAAAAGGCTGACAAAGGAGGTGCTGTTGTCATCATGAATAGGTCGGAATATGAACAAGAGGCTGCTCGGCAGCTCTCCAACATGAGTTTCTACAAGCCATTACCCTATGATCCCACTGAGAGTTACCAAAAGCAACTACAGCATTTGCTCAAGAAACTTCCTGAAAAAGCACAAGATCAAATCCGCACAGACACACCCCTGGAACCCCGACCTGGGATATTCTATCTACTACCCAAGATCCATAAACCTGGAAATCCTGGGCGCCCCATCATCTCAGGCATTGGCACCCTGACAGCAGGATTGTCTGGCTATGTAGACTCCCTCCTCAGGCCCTACGCTACCAGCACTCCCAGCTACCTTCGAGACACCACTGACTTCCTGAGGAAACTTCAATCCATCGGTGATCTTCCTGATAACACCATCCTGGCTACTATGGATGTAGAAGCCCTCTACACCAACATTCCACACAAAGATGGATTACAAGCCGTCAAGAACACTATCCCCGATAATGTCACGGCTAACCTGGTGGCTGAACTTTGTGACTTTGTCCTTACCCATAACTATTTCACATTTGGGGACAATGTATACCTTCAGATCAGCGGCACTGCTATGGGTACCCGCATGGCCCCACAGTATGCCAACATTTTTATGGCTGATTTAGAACAACGCTTCCTCAGCTCTCGTCCCCTAAAGCCCCTACTCTACTTGCGCTATATTGATGACATCTTCATCATCTGGACCCATGGAAAAGAAGCCCTTGAGGAATTCCACCATGATTTCAACAATTTCCATCCCACCACCAACCTCAGCCTGGTCCAGTCCACACAAGAGATCCACTTCCTGGACACTACAGTGCTAATAAACAATGGCCACATAAACACCACCCTATACCGGAAACCTACTGACCGCTATTCCTACCTGCATGCCTCCAGCTTTCACCCTGACCACACCACACGATCCATCGTCTACAGCCAAGCTCTGCGATACAACCGCATTTGCTCCAACCCCTCAGACAGAGACAAACACCTACAAGATCTCTGTCAAGCTTTCTTACAACTACAATACCCACCTGCAGAAGTAAAGAAACAGATTGATAGAGCCAGAAGAGTTCCCAGAAGTTACCTACTACAGGACAGGCCTAACAAAGAAAATAACAGAACGCCACTAGCGGTCACCTTCAGCCCCCAACTAAAACCCCTCCAACGCATTATTAAGGATCTACAACCTATCCTAAAGGATGACCCAACACTCTCACAAGTCTTGGGAGACAGGCCAGTCCTTGCCTACAGACAGCCCCGCAACCTGAAGCAAATACTCACCAACAACCACATACCACACAACAGAACCACTAACCCAGGAACTTATCCTTGCAACAAAGCCCGTTGCCAATTGTGCCCACATATCTATTCAGGGGACACCATCACAGGGCCTAATAACATCAGCCACACTATCAGAGGCTCGTTCACCTGCACATCCACCAATGTGATATATGCCATCATGTGCCAGCAATGCCCCTCTGCCATGTACATTGGTCAAACTGGACAGTCTCTACGTAAAAGAATAAATGGACACAAATCAGATGTCAAGAATTATAACATTCATAAACCAGTCGGAGAACACTTCAATCTCTCTGGTCACGCAATCACAGACATGAAGGTCGCTATCTTAAAACAAAAAAACTTCAAATCCAGACTCCAGCGAGAAACTGCTGAATTGGAATTCATTTGCAAATTGGATACTATTAATTTAGGCTTAAATAGAGACTGGGAGTGGCTAA